ATTAGATTATACTTTTGTTGCTATACGACATGACATAAAAGCCACTACAGGAACGTAACGTTACCAAAACGCACTGGTTTTTGTCTATATATTAGAAGTTGTCAATCTAACTGATCTTTACCAATAATTATTCTATGAATACGCCACGAATTCATTTCATGAATGATTTTAATTTTGATTGGCTCACAAAGGAATTTACTTACGTTTGACTGTCTCGACTGCGTTTTTTTACCTCTTTGTTGACCAAGCTTGATTTCGCAAAATTTATTTATTTCAATTAGCTATGAAATGTGAGGTTAAGACATATTATAGAGTGGGGGTGGTAGTACTTGTCCTGTCGTTTTTGACGGGTTATACGCTAGTTTATATAGAAACTGTGTATTAATACCAACTGATAGCTATAGGACCTTCGTTATATTTGACCATGAAACATCATAAATTACTCACAAGTCGCATAAGTTCTGCATAGAAAAACGGGTTCTTGCTGACCTTAATTTATTACTGATGAAATAAAAGAGCTACGCATTGCTATTCAGTCACCATGCATAAGAAGGATATATTGTCAAGGCCAGGACTGTCAAAGAAAATAGGTCTTACCACAAACGGATACAGACTCCTTGCTTTGGATCCAAGTTGAGCGTTAACGGTTGTTGATAAGATAGGTGGAAAAATGTTTGGGTGGTTGATTAAATCAAAGTCTGAAATAAATCAACGTCAGATCGCAAGTGAAAATAACATCGCAAACTAAATCTATCTTCTTTTACTGATAAATAAATCCGTTAAACAAAGAGAAAACCCATTCCTATATAACTTTAGTACTGACCTGGAGGTGATACCTAGTGTTTAACTTAAAACAGTCCTGATTGATTAATGGTTCTGATACATTAAAGTACATATTATTTCGCTAATATAAAATAACCATATGAACGTGATAATATTTTACATACATAAGATGATTAATAATGTTTATAGTGAATAAACAATAAATTTCGATCCTTCTGAGATTAGATAGAATTAATTTTGAAAGTGACCTCTATAAAAATAAACACATTTATCATTTTACTTTGATAATTTTTGTTTTACTAAAAATTGTTCGTTTTGTTTTTTCAATGGATAATTTCGCGATAACTGTTACAATTTAATAATTGTAACTGTTTTTTTGTATTTTCCATTTATTAAATGTACATAACATCTATTTATTGCAATCTGATATTCTATGCTACTTGAGTAAGGAAGCACATTATGCTTACAAACCGTAGTTTGCTAACCTATTATGATACTTTACGTTGAAAATGTATATACAAATAGACGAGTTTTTTATGCGGAAATGTTTAACCTTGACGAATACGAAACACAATGGTTTTTGTATTATTAACTTGTAAGATCTGTTTGGTGCAGCTGGAGGTATGTAGGGATAGTGGTCAGTGCTAAATACATACCTTTGTGGAAACGTACTTCAATAGAACTACTACTCTGTCCCAAAGCATTTACTATTGATAAAGTATATACCCCTTCATGAGCTTGGGTTGCTCGTAGAAACTCCAGATAACCTGAAAAAGTAAAAACAATACCCGACTATGAAAGCTATATATAACTTACCTTCGCAGTCAAACTACTGTAATTGCTAAATGTCACTCTTTATTTTGTAACTTAAAGATCATTTCTTGATAAATATTAGCTTCATGCATTTGTCCCATTGGTTGTTATTGTCTATTTGATCATAACAGTGACTTTTTTCCATTGGATAATTTCAGAAATATAATTTCAACACTTAAGACACTGTACCCACGTTAGGCTAGCTTTCTTGTGGATGAAGTTGCTCTGGTTCATTTATAGGATCTTTACGCACACTTGACTTCTTATGTAAACTAAGCCGTTGATTTTTGCTAATAATTACAAGGTAATAAAGTTAATCTGTTTGTTTGTTATGGCGCTTCTAGTTTAAATGTATATACATCAATGTTTAGAACACAAATACTCATTCAAAACGTTAACAAAACTTAAACCAATAATAATAATTACCAATCATAACTGTAAACTCATCATGCTATAAACGGGTAGAGGCAGCTGTATCTCAGTATTTTAACTTTGATCACTTAAGACGGCAACAGAATACTGGTAGATAAAATGTCCATCCAATTCAGATACAGATCAGATAAAATATCTATCCAATTCAGATACAGAGCAGATAAAATATCCATCCAATTCAGATACAGATCAGATAAAATATCCATCCAATTCAGATACAGATCAGATAAAATATCCATCCAATTCAGATACAGAGCAGATAAAATATCCATCCAATTCAGATACAGAGCAGATAAAATGTCCATCCAATTCAGATACAGAGCAGATAAAATGTCCATCCAATTCAGATACAGAGCAGATAAAATGTCCACCCAATTCAGATACAGAGCAGATAAAATGTCCATCCAATTCAGATACAGAAAAGATAAAATGTCCCTCCAATTTAGATACAGAGAAGATGAATGTCCCTCCAATTCAGATACAGAGAAGATGAATGTCCCTCCAATTCAGATGCAGAGCAGATAAAATGTCCATCCAATTCAGATACAGAGAAGATAAAATGTCCCTCTCATTTAGGTATATTTATGTTGCTTTGTTCTTTTAAACAAGCCATATGATAAAAACAGTGAATCATGTCATCTGAGCAAAGTCCTCACTAAATTTACTTACTTTCAAAGATGCTTTTTCCAAACTACACAAATATATACTAACAATACTGCGATAGAGCTTCATAGTTTGAGGGAGGAGAGCCGGTACTAAACCTCTATAGCGTATAGATTAAGATCAAATCACTAATAGAGCATCTGAAATGTGCATTTGGTTCATGTTTCATTGTTCCAGTCTTGCATACTGTTATACATGAGAAGATCTGACATTACAAGATATCGTGTATAATAACCTATAAAATGTTTTTTTACAATCAAAAACCGGAAAACGGAAAGCTCAGAATATCTCTTATGTACTGATACAACTCCCCTCCCCAATTTTTCTGAAATGACGTCACTTATTATTCAGCAAACGTTTATAAATACAAATCACATAGCTAACTTCTTAGACTCAATTCTATCTCAATCTATTTTTATCTATAAATTAAATTTTAACTAAAGTATACTTTGTAACCATATTTATCATTGAAATAGCTGGAAAGTATTTTATACGTATGGTTTTATTTAAAAACTAAGATCCTTTCAGTACCACGGCAGAACTGTTCGTTATCAACTACAAAGCTACACAATGGGAAATCTATGTTGTACCTACCATAAGTATGGTATCAAAACCCTATTTTTACCATCAGAAGCCTTCAGACTTACCCCTGAGCCACCATAGGACTTGTAAAACGATACATGATACACACACAATATGATCATTAGAGGTAGAACATTCCACGATATAGAAAATAAACCAGACGAAGTGACAGATCATAGGTTTTCCCCTAGAACTTCACTTCCAATTCCTCAAGTTTGAAAAAAGATTGTTTTTAAGAAGATATTGCTTATTTTATGAAAGAATTTTCTATTTAAAAATCATATATGAAATGTTACTTGACTCACTAAGTCAGGTGGATTCTCTTCTTTATCGTGGCTTCGCGATAGGTATATATATATATATATATATACAGCAGTCTCTATTCTCACATATAATCAGTGC